TGTACTCATAGTCGTGCATGCCGTAGTCGTTAGACCATTGACCTCGCATCCCTACAAAGCCGGGACGGAGCACGCCGGGTTCTCACCGGACCAGTCTATATCACAGGGGGTGGGGGTATTCCCTCGCGTGCTTTACGGTATACCCTTGCAGCTGCTTCTTGCTGTCACTGGCCCTATTTAGCGCGCTAAAGAGAGGCGATTCACGTTGCAGCATTCCCCGGAGGGACGACCGACAACAAGCACATTTCAATGGCAAGAGCATGAACCACGACACAGCAACGACACAACCCTTGCATGCTGGGGGCACCGCAACATAGCTAGCCCCCCACGGCAGATAGACAGCATCCCCAGCGCGCGATTGTTTCTTGCCTGTAAAGCGTGTAGGAAAGGGGGTTGACGAAGCCCCCCTTGGGAACGAGTAGATCAACGGCACTCTCGACGTGTCTACCTTCCACCGCTGCGTGAATAAGCTTCGCCGCGTAGGATAACCTGCTCAGAGCAGACCAACGCAAACAAGCACAGATCAAGTGATGATTTTCAATGATTTACCCCCTCCGTCCACGCGTATCCTGAAAATGTGTGGCTCGTGAACACGGGCAAAGGATCTAGAGCAGTTCGTCCCTGCCAAAAGCAGCAAAGCATAAACAATAACACCGAAACACAATGGCGGTAGTCTCAATAAACGAATTTCTTTTTTCACGATACACCGACCCAGCCCCAGCACAATTATTTGCATCCGAAATTCAACGAAAACACAAGCTCTTCTCTTTTCCAATTAAACTAGAGCGAAGGGCGACGAAGTACAGAAAACGAGAATCAATTCAAGGTGTTTCCGACACTATATTAGCCAAGCAGTTGACACCACCGAAAGGTGGCCGCTTCAATCACCGACTCTGTTGCTCGTAAGCTTCAACATGCAGGCTACAAGCTTGCTGGCATCTCTTCATGAAACAAATCAGGAAATCCGGGGATGGGTGTGCTTGTTGGTCATGGGTCAATGATCAGGCATAATGCTGGTAAACCTCAACCTCCACTTTCCCACTATTAATACAAGATATGAGATGTTTTGGCGCTTCGCGCGACCGCCCAAACTGAGGAATTTCAAGACAGATAGGTCAGGCTATCAATGAAGACGACCAACAAAAAGTATCGATATTCAGTTAGATGGTGCCAGGAGCTCCCGACTTCGGGCATGTTGGACGCCCCGTCCTAATGATAAGGCTGTAGCTAGCATAACAGCAGCAGTCTATGAGTCAGGCGCTCTGAAGTCGTTGCTACGATTCGATGCTAGTGACAGCAGTAATGATAAAAGACTATCAAGAATCGCTGTCTTCAAAAACAACAGACGCCGTGCTCACTCTGTTCCCAGTAAGCTCTATTTTCGAATGAAGTGGTTCTTACGACTTGGTCGAAGATGGAAAATGGTAGACTCCATTTGATAAGCACCCAGTTATTTGTAATGGTGACGAACGCGAGGGGCACGAAGGGGATGCAACTGAGAGCACTCTGGTAAATAAAAGTCCACACTCGTCGCTTCGTGATCTGACGGATGCCCTCGAGACAGTTTTGCAGCAGCAGGTGTCCGCCAAAACCGCGTTACTACTATGCATATGTCGTCGTTTGAACAAATCTCCGAAAATAATTACAGCTGAGATTACTAAATACCACTCTACTCGCCTGAGCGAGTCTACATCAATCCCCGTTGCCAGAAAGTTCTTGATGGGCGCCGAGTGAAGCCTGCGCAGCCGAGCTTTGGCCGGGGTTGGAGGGCTCCTGGCAGTACTATTAGCTCCATTGTCCTGCTGTTTAACCACCAACACAAAAGAGCGGTAGGGACAGGTGCAGTATCGGAGAGAGCCGTTCGCCACATTATTCATTAGTTGGTCTTGACTACTGCTGTAAGTAGTAGGCAGCCGAAGGGGTTGCGCAGTTTTCGAAGTGAACATCGCGTACGTAGCGCGCGAGGGGCATTCTTGTTACAAGTGCAGCAGCTGGGCCATCTGCAAGGAGGCTTGTTTGCTATCGAGTCGACGGGTGGAGACAAAGTACAACAGACCAGCAGCCTCCAGCCCGAACCGTCATCATGTCATCTCAAGACTTGTGGCCCTACTGCTGTAACCCTTCAAACCGACTCTTTTTTGAAATTACGAACATAGTCTACAGATATGCTCTGAACCTCTTACATACTGCTCAACATATCACCTACGCTGTCATAGTTGTTGCAGCAGTGCTAGACGAGACAGATGTGCACTATTGCTGTTGCAAGTTATGGCCTGGGAGGCACGAAACAACCCTTTCGAACCTGCTTTGGATGGGTGTTGGGGCTACCGTTCCCGCTTGACTCGGAACCGCGCTCCCGCACAACAAGCGGCGAAATTTCGGAACTCCTGCGCATTCCCCGGCTAGTGTGTGTGGTTCAACACAGCAGAAAAGGAAGACGACTTCGCCCGACTCCACAAGAAAGAGAGGCAGAGAGAGAGAGAG